AATGGAAAAGAGCTAGTTTAGCTATTGAAGGGGAAGGGGAGAGGGGGAGGGGTGGGGACTTAACAAGGGGGCAGGATGGGCAGGTAGAAGGGTAAGGGCAAGGAGAGAGAAAAGAGAGAGGAGGGGGGGAGGGTGGGGTTGGGGGAGAGAGAGAGAGAGAGAGAGAGAGAGAGAGAGAGAGAGAGAGAGAGAGAGAGAGAGAGAGAGAGAGAGAGAGAGAGAGAGGAGAGAGAGAGGGGGGAGGGGGGAGGATGGGAGAGGGAGGAGGGGGAGGGGGTATCCGAATCAAGTAGGTGCCCTGCTTATCAACATTCAGCGGCGTGGGGAGGAAAGTTGACCTGCTGGCGCGTGCAGGTAGGAGAGTGCTTGAGGCCAGACAGTGGCTTTCTGTCTGTCTGTTGTCTCCTTTCTGTTCTCTTTGTCTCTGTCTGTCTGTTTCACTTTTTCCCTCTGTCTCTTTTTTCTCTTTTCTCTCTGTCTTTGTCTGTGTCTTTCTCTTTTCTTTTCTCTCTGTCTGTCTGTCTGTCTTTTTCTCTTTTCTCTCTGTCTCTGCCTGTCTGCCTGTCTGTTTCTCTTGTTTTTCTCTCTGTTTCAGTCTGTCTGTCTACCTGCCCCTCTCTCTCTTTCCTCACCGATCTCTCCCCCCCCTCTCTCCTCCCGCCCTCTCTCTCCCTCACGCAAACACACACACACGCAAACCGGTCTTAACCCTTCCCCCCAAAACCCCGTTTTTGTAAAACAGTCACGAATCATCTCACTCCGATGATCAGGGTGGGGGTGATGGGGGCCTAAGGGGAGGGGGGGGGAGGGTCACTACATGGGGAGAGGCAGGGGGTGGGGTGTACCAGGGGGTGGGGGTGGAGGGGTTGCTAAAAGGGGGGAAGGAAAGGTAGTGGGAAGGAAGGTAGGTTAATGTTCGTGTAGTGAGGGAGGAGGAGGAGGGAAGAGAGGGAGGGGAGAGAGATGGAAGGATGGAGAGGGAGAGAGGAAGGGAGAGGGAAGGGAGAGGGAGGGAAGGATGGAGAGGACAAAGAGGGGAGAGGGTGGGAATGAGAGAGAGAAAGGGAGGGAGGAGGGAGGGAATGAGGGAGAGGGAGAATGGATAGGAAAGGGAGATGGAGGGAGAGGGAAAGAAGGATATAGAGGTAAAGAACGCTTGGATAACCACGAGACGAAATTTTGGGGCAGGATTTTGACTTGAGGTTTGTTTTTTTTTCAAGATGCTAGGATTAAGAGGTCGGAAGATCTAGGATTAAGGAAGGGGAGAAGGGGACGATGACCGGGGGGGGAGCCTGGGGGAGAAATGGGGGGCTAGGGAAGGGGGAAGGCTGGGAGAGATGGGGGGGGGTTAGGGAAGGGGGAGGCTGGGGGAGAGGTGGGGGGGGTTAGGGAAGGGGGAGAAGGCTGGGGGACAGGTGGGGGTGGCTTAGGGAAGGGAGGGGGGTAAAAGGGGTAGGAGAAGAGAGAACTGAATGATAACAAAAACGCAGTTTACAGGAATATCACCAGCAACGACAATAACAAAAGCTATTAACAACAACAAGAAGAACAACACCTGAAATAGACAAACAAAAAAAGCATCACCTCCACCCGCCTCAGCCAACAACATTAACGACAACAACAAACAACAACAACACCACTAACCACCAACAACAACAACTCCTACAACAACGACAGCAACAACAACACCACAACAGCAACAACACCACCACCACTAACCAACTACAAACACCACCAACCAACAACTCCTACAACACTACCACCACCACCACCCACACCACCACCACCAACCACCACCAACCACCAACCAACCACCACACCACCACCACAACACAACAAACGGAAAGAAAGAAAAAAAAAAAGAACGAAATAACAGACAGCAAAAGAGACGAACGCCCAGCGACACCTAGGAAGATGGGACTCAAGATAAGGGCGAGACAGAGGGAGATTAGCGGCCGTCTTGAGAGGGAGATCGGTGGGGGAAGGGGGGAGGGGGTAAAGGGGGTGAAGGGAAGGGGGGAGGAAGGTGGGAGGTGGGGGGAGGGGAAGGTGGGAAAGGGGGGGGAGATGGGTGAGGGGGGGAAGGGGTGGAGGTGGGAGGATATGGGAGGGGAGGAGAAGGGGGCGGGGGAGGGGAGAGGAGAGTAAAGAAGGGGGAGGAGGTGGGGAGGTGGGAGAAGGGAAAGGGGATGGGAAAGGGGTAGTGGGAAAGGGGGGAAGGGGGGAGAAGGGGAAGGGTGAGGGGAGAAGGGAGTAAAAGGGGGAGGGGAAGTAGAAGGGGAGGGGTTGAGGTGGGAGAGGAGAAAGGGGGAGGAGATGGGGGAGGGAGGAGGTGGGGGATGGATATGGGGTGGAGGTGGATATGGGATGGGAGAGGGAGAAGGGGGGAAAATGGGGGAGGGAGGGGGGGAGAAGGGAAAGGGGGAGGGGGTAAGAGAACGGGAGGGTCGAGTGGAGAGAAGATGGGGAGGTTGAAGGGGGAGGAAATAGGGGAAGGTGTAGCGGAGGAGAAGGGGGGGGGGGAAAGGGAAGGTGCAAGTGGGAGAAAGGTGGGAAGGGGAGGGAAGGAGAAGAGGAAAATGAAATCAAGTGGGAAGGGGAGGAAAGAGGAAGGGAAGGTGAAGCGAAGGTGGAGGAATCAGATGAGGAAGGGGAAGGGAGACAAAGGGGAAGAAGAAGAGGTGGATAAGAGGAAAGGGGAGGGTCAAGTAGGAAGGGGAGAGAGGAGGAGGGATATTGGACCGCGAAGAAAGGGTGAAGAGGAAGAGGGAAGAGGAAGAAAAAACGAGGGAGAAGTGAGAAGAAGTGGAGAAGGGTATGAAAGAATGGAAAGAGAGAGAAGGTGGAGAAGGAACGAGGGAATAGAAAAGGAAAGGAAAGGTGAAAGGGGAGTAACGGAGAACAAGACAGAAATGGAAAAGTGTGAACATACAACAAAACGAGTAAAAATCACACAAAACAAAACAAAAGAAAACAAAGAAAGTAATAAAAATAAGAAGACAAACAAGAAAAGAAAAACAACCAAACAAAGAAACAAAGAGTTAAAAAAAAGACAAACAAAAAAAGAAAAATAAAAAAAAAAATGGAATGTCATTCACGATAACAAAGAAATAAGTATGATTCGTTAGTAAGAATATGTCAGAAGGAAAGGATTGAGGAAAAGGAAGTGAAGAATCAGAAAGGAATGCGATGTTCTTAAAGGAGGCAGGAAATGGGAGAGAATTAGCGAAGTAATTTTAATTTAGGAGGAATTATTATAATTAGTGTTTCGATTAGTATGTACGCCTACGTGGTTGAATAAATACACCTGTACACACACACACACACATACACGCAACAAATTCAAAGCACACACATACAAGCACACACACACACATACACACACACACACACACACAAACACGCAACATTCAAGCACACGCACACAAGCACACATACACGCACACAAATACAAGCACCACACATACAAGCACACGCACACACACACACACACACACACACGTGGTTAAATAAATACACCTGTACACAACACACACCCACACACAACACAATACAAGCACACGCACAACAAGGCACACGCACACACACACACACACACACACACACAACCACACACACAACACACGTGGTTAAATAAATACACCTGTACAACATACACACACAAATACAAGCACACGCACAACACACACACACGCAAATTGAAGCACACCACACGAGCACACCACACAGTAAAAAACATAACGCACATAGCCACACAAAACTACACACACATACGCACACATACATAAACAAACACGACACATTAGCATACATTTCCCAGCATCTTATTAAGTCATCGTCCTCATCACAAATGCTCACACACACACCACACACACACACACCAGACACACACACACAAAGGCACACACACAACGCAACACACACACACACCTGCACAACCACAACACCACACACACACGGGTCCACTTCATACACACACAACAACACACACAAACACAAATAACTGGGAACAAATCCTCGGGCAAAACTTAATTATCATAATGATCGCCAGAGGGACGAGTCCTAATGCTAACTTTCCTCCCACAAACCTTATTACTTCTCTCTCCTCTGCTCTCGTCTCTCTCTGCTCACTCTCAGTCTCTCTCTCATTCTCTCTCCTCTGCTCTTCTTCTCTCCTCTCAATCTCTCTCTCTCTCTCTCTCTCTCTCTCTCTCGTCCTCGTCTCTCTCGTCTCTCTCTCTCTCTTCTCCCACCTGCCGTCCTCTCTCCCTCTCATCGTCTCTCTCCCTCTCCCCTCTCTGTGTCCCTGTCTCTGTTCTGTCTGTTGTCTCTCAGCCAGAATACTCTCCCTTCCCTCTCCTCTTTTCTCTCTCCTTCTTCTCCTCTTCCTCTCCTCTCACCCTCCACTTCTCTCCT